TATGAAGTCATTAGGAAATGGGAGATGAGTTTTTTATTTAAGTACTTTTAGGCAACTGGAACTCCTGAGTATAGACAAAGAGCACAGGTTTCAGGTCTCTGGAAGACAAGCTGGAACTGTCAGAAGTCGTGTTTATGCAAGCACCACCGTCCCTGGGAGATACCCCCACCCCACAGAAGGAAGGCCCATGAGGCGGGGGGGGGGGGGGGGGGGGGGGGGGGGGGGGGGGGGGGGGGGGGGGGGGGGGCAGGGGCCTCTGGGGCAGGGGCCCAGCAGCTGTGACCCTTTCTCTTTCAGCTTAAGTCACAAGTGTGTTCACAAGCACCCCTGGGAAAGCTAGCCAGAAATTGGTAAATTTATAAGAGGCATAAACTCAGCTTCCCAGGGGGAGAGCTGACAAAACACTGCTTTTCTCTGAAAGCTGAGCAGATGGAACTGTTTGTCCTTCTGCATCGGATGCGCTGTTGTCTTTCACCCAAGAAAAAGTCTCAAAAAGAAAATGCCTTTGCGGGAGGGGGTACTCAGGGACCCTCCTTGTAGCCTGACCCAAGTGTGGAGTGGGGGGGGGGGATGAAGGGGGAAGGCAGGGGACTAGGGGTGGGGGGATAACTCTGTCAGTTTCAAACCTGGTCCCCAGAAGTCAGGCTGCAACTTCAAAGAAAATTCTAAAAAGCATTCTTTGTGTTGATCAGCCTGAAATGCATGCCATAGCAAAGCCTTCACAGGAGTAATTTTTAGGAACCTGGGCTGCATGGAAGCTTGTTTTGGAGATCAGATTTTCTCTTTCTCCTTAGATGATCTAACATGCCCTTTTTTCCCTCCAAAACATCATCTTTCCTGACACGTCTCTTTGCTGAAGTCTTCAACGCCCCAGGTGGAGTCCACAGTTGCCAGGCCCTTCTTGGCTGCAAGTGTTGGTGGCTATTGCTTGTACAGCACTCTGCTCAATAAATCTAGAAAAGTGCACGGGGAGATGGTTTAGATTGTTAGGAGAAGGGGCCGTCCTGCTGCCGGGGGGGGGGGGGGCGGTGAAATGACAGTTGCAACCAAGGTGTCCCCATGGCCTGAACCCCTCCCCCAGCCAACTCCCTTCCTGCTTTAGAGGGTGGAGCCCAGAGGGACTAGCCCCCAACCTGCAGCTGGGAACTCAGCCTTCCTCATGCAACCTCCACAGGGACCCTGCCACTGACGGGAATGAAAGCCATGCCCGCACTCTCAGGGGCCCAGGAGCTCAGCCCTTCCTCTTCCTCATCTAGCCCACTGGCGATAAAGCCGGAGTTTGTGGAGCAGTCACCTCCACATGGTGTGTGGTCATGCACCTGAAACATGGTGCTCATAATAACCTGGCGACACCGGGTCCACTGAAGTTTGGTCGGTTTATAGACCTGGAGCCCACAGTCAGCAGGGTACACTCCTGGCAGCCACACCCTCCCCATCTTCTGGCTCTTCCTTGTGACCACAGCTCAAATTTCCAGAAAGCCAGATAGGGGCCAAGGGTTAAGGCACGACTGGAAACATGAGGGACAAGGATGTGAGAGCCAAGGCGGGTGCACAGCCTAGAAGGAGACCTGCCGCTCCCGCTCCACTCACTAGCTCTCACACAAGGGTTGCTCTATTTTTAACATCCTCCTTGGAATGCTCTGCATTCCGACATGTGCACTTTCCAGGCTGTGGGTGGGAAGTCAACAGCCAAACTCTACAAATTACACATACTACATATCCTTAGCATCTTTAGATAAATGTACACTACTCCCCACCCACCTGTAGCCTCATGGGAAACCTAATAATAACCTTAATAACAATAAAATGTTTCTTTTGCCACTAAGTCATGGAGTTTGGGGTCCTTTGTTACGCAGCAGTAGGTAAATAGATAGCTGATACAGGTATTGCTGTGAACTTTTTTTTTTTAATTTTAGGAAGAAGCCTTCTTGTCATAAGAGTTGCTCAAGGGCCATGTGGGGACCAGAGGAAAGACAGGATGTGACCCCAGGACTCCAAGGACTGAATTCTTGTAGCCAGGAAAGCAAAGTCCTTGTTACACCCTCTGCCCCTCATACTGGCTACCACTCTCCTAAGATGGTTAGATAACCCTGCCCCCTCGATAGCTTCAGGCCCAGAGGTACAACCCAGAGGGGTCTGTCTTGGGTTCCATAGCTACATCTTCTTGCATTTGGAAGCCCATTGGGAAAAGACCATGGGTGTTGCCAGTCTCACTGTTCATCATCTAATCTCTTTCACTAGTTTATCAAAAGTCCGCTGAACACCCAGTACATCCAGGTATCTCTCAGAGCTTGGGAGAAGTTAGCAAAGCAAACAAACCAGGACCCCCCACACACACCCACCCATGGCAGTGGTCGTCCAGGCATCTTCTCTCCAGTGTCTCAGACTTGACCTTCACCCTGAAGCTCAGGTGACCGCCCAGCTCAACAGGCAGGACACCACCCTGCCTACATCACGCTGGGAATCCCAGGAAGCTGGAGACACCCAGTTGCTGTTGCCCTCTTGGCCAACACACCAGCTTCCCCAAGAAACTCAGACCCCTCATCAACGCACCTCAGCCCTGGCAGACTTGGACAAGCAAGCTCGTTGCAGACACACAGCATGTGGAGTGTCAGAGAGAGGCCAGCAAGGCTCAGAGGGAGTTAGGCCTGGGCAAGGGTATGGTCCAGTCACTGATGGACACAGCAGACCAGCCCCACCCTCCGTGAGCACCTCACCAAAGCTTTCCCTAAAGGGTCCCAGCTGTTCAGGAAGCACATGTCCAGGGAAATCATAAGTGAAAGAGGCGAACAGTTCGGACATGGAAGGTTCCGGCTGCTGGGCCATCCAGACAGGCTCCCTGCTTCACAGAAAGAGGATTTTAAGCCACTGAGGACTCCGGACAAGGTCCCGCCACCCATGTGGTTCAGCAAGGCAGCCCAGGTGACATTTCCTCTGTGGTTTCAAGCAAACGCCTTGTCATAATATTTGTGCTAAGTTGCCTTTTATGATTTTTTAAGCTCCTAGGCTGGCTCGAAAATAAATCTTTGCAAAGAAGCCCAGCTTAGCAGAAAGGTCAGGGGTGTGAAAACCAAACAGTGAGCTTAAGCAGCCAAGTGAGAGCGCGTTTCCATCAGGAGCGTCCTCAGTGGCAACAGCTACTGGCTGGCAAAGTGGCCACTGGCTGCTGCCTTCCTCTGGGGGGGGGGGTCTCAAGAGAGGTGACCAGATACCACTGTCCACGGCAAAACCCCCACGTCCCCATGGGTTCAGGATGACCTCTGGGGGCCAACACAGGCTGACAAGGCACTGCTTTCTGTGGCAAGGACACTCACTCCCAACCCCAGGACGAGTTCACTGAACCTATGGGCTCGCCTTCCAGAGAGCAAACCTGGGCTAACTTGGAGAAGTTAAAGCAACTTTTGTTTTCCCAGGTATTTCAGCTTCGCACCCTCTGAAATCCTCACACAGTCTGCACAAAAGCATTCACTCCACAGGTGTCCACTGAGAGCCTGCTGTTAGCAGCGCCAACAGCATCCAGAACAACAGGTACCCGGGAACATCAATTTGAACTGTGTACCCATTTCACAGATGACTAAACAGAGGTACGGGGAAGCTAAAACACTCACCCAGATATTAAGCAGCAGGTTGAAACCACTCCTGTTGCCTCAGCTCACTGTGCTGGCCTCCAGCAAAGAGACATTTGTGTTTCCTGCGAGGCTACATTTTTAAGCACATATCTTATGTGCCAAGACTCCGTGGTGGGAACATCAGGGTTCAGTGGAGCAGAGAAGCCCAGAGCCAGCCAGGAACTGGAGACTAAGCACCGAGCCGGAGCTTCTCCCCCCAACTGGTCTGAAGTCTGGCTGCTCAGCCTCACCCGCTTTCCTCAGAGCTCCCTTTCCCTCAGCTCCCTCCAGTATCTGTTCCTGATTCCCAGGCAGCCAGGTCCCTCTACATCCTGCCAGGCTGGACCCTGAAGATGACATCTGATGGTCCACGTGCAGGTGGTGATGACAGGCCTGGACCCTACCACCTGCACCCACAGTGGCACATCGCCACCCCAGGGTGCTGGGTGCAGGAGACCACCCTGCACAGAGGCGGGTGGTGCTTTATCCTCCGCTTTCTGATCGCCTCAGTCACCCCCTCCCCCAGTTACTTGTGCTAGAGTAGAGCTCCCTGGGAGCCCAGCTTCTTGCATCCTAGGAAGAAAGGGCATCCCCCTACCTCAGCAGGAAGCCCACTGCTTGGGCGGGCTGGAAGCGACCCGGGGCAGTTCCCTTGGGGAAGTGGGGCTTAAGAAACTGGGGAGACCCGGGAAAGGGGAGCGAGCTGCCTGAGGAGGGTGCCTGGAAACAGCCAATATTCCTGGCGCACCTCGCTGGAATCCCAATTCCCTGGGGTGCACCTTCCAGTCCAGATGGTCCCTGAGAGTGCGCGGGGGTGATCAGCCAGCCCTGCCCCCTTGCGGGGCGGGGACAGTGGCTGGGGCCTCCTTCTCTCCCCTCCAGCGCCCCCCACGGCTGGGCGCGCCCGTCGCCGCCGGCTCAGTGGAGGCGCAGAACCCGGGAGGGCGCTGGCGCGGCGGGAGGTGCGCGGAGCGAGGTGCGCGGAGAGCGCGAGCGAGAAGAGAGCGCGCCGGGCAGCCGGGCGTGCGCTCCGCTCGGCTCCACAGGCTTGCCTCGCGCAGCCCGAGCCCCAACCGGCCGGGCGCTCTCCGCGAGAACCGGTTCTGCCGCCCGGGGACCTGAGGAACCGTGGGATCGGGCATTCGGAGAAAGCCGGGAAAGCGCGGAGCTCGGAGGGAAGCTGCAACCCCCGGTGAGTGCGAGCGCCGAGCGCGCCAGGCTGGCACGGACCGGGTCGGCGCTCCCCGGCTCGACGGCGCGCCCCCTCGGCCTCTCACACCCACCCCTCGGGCTCCCTCTATTCTGTCCCTGCCTGAGAGGCACCCACTCTCGCCTCGGCTTCTAGCCGCGGACCCCAGGAAGCGCAGCAGCACCCCGCCCCGCGCGTCCGACATGCGTCTCAACAGCTCGGCTCCCGGTCCCTGGGTCGGCCTGACCGGCGACCCGTTCACGCAGCCGCCGTCGGTGCTGGAGGGGGCGCTCCTGGCTCCCGGCCTGGGCAATGGCTCTGGCAACCTGTCGGAGCCCGTACCAGCGGCGCCCAGCAGCGACCTGGATGTGAACACGGACATTTACTCCAAGGTGCTGGTGACCATCGTGTACCTGGCGCTCTTCGTGGTGGGCACGGTGGGCAACTCCGTGACTGCGTTCACGCTGGCGCGCAAGAAGTCGCTGCAGAACCTGCAGAGCACGGTGCACTACCACCTGGGCAGCCTGGCACTGTCCGACCTGCTCATCCTGCTGCTGGCCATGCCTGTGGAGTTGTACAACTTCATCTGGGTGCACCATCCCTGGGCCTTCGGTGACGCCGTGTGCCGCGGCTACTACTTCCTACACGACGCCTGCACCTATGCCACGGCCCTCAACGTGGCCAGCCTGAGCGTGGAACGCTACCTGGCCATCTGCCACCCCTTCAAGGCCAAGACACTCATGTCCCGCAGCCGCACCAAGAAGTTCATCAGCGCCGTCTGGCTGGCCTCCGGCCTTCTGGCCGTGCCTATGCTCTTCACCATGGGCCAGCAGAACCGCAGCGCCGACGGCCAGCACCCCGGCGGCCTGGTGTGCACACCCATTGTGGGCACCGCCACAGTCAAGGCCGTCATCCAGGTGAGCAGCTTCTTCAGCGGGCAGGGGCAGGAGTCAGAGGGCACCAGACCAGGATCTCCCCTGGGAGCAAGTGTCCAAGGTGGACCCTCAGGGAAGCCTCAGTGCCTCATCCCAAATGTAGTTTCCTGTCTGTGTGTCCTCTGGGTACAGGAAGTTGGAGAAAATTTCATGTCCCAAAGAAATTTTATTCCTATGAAGCTGGGAAGGAGTGGGGATGGGGGAGGAGCAGGGGACTTGAGAGCAGCCTGACCCCCAGCTTCTTCCCACCTTTAGCCCCAGGGCTGCCAGGCCTCAGCCCCACTTATTTCATCCCCTCCTTTCATCAAAGGGGCTAGAACCCCAGATTACCGACCACTCTGGAGCCAAGGCTCCATGGGTGGGCCTCAGCTGTCCCCAGAGTCCCTGAGATGTAAGGTAAATGTGTGTGATGTTGTCCTCCTCTTTCCAGGGAGAGTCCCTCCCATCAGCTTCTCGAAAGGCTTTGTGCTCCCCACAGGCGTGGTCCCTCTCCTCTACAGCAGAATCCCTATCCCAGATGGTTCCACCAGTGTCTCCTGGCCTGATGCTGTCTCGGGCTGGTTCCTTAGTTTAGCCTCAGTTTTCCCATCTGTGAAATGGGGCAATCACAGCCCTGGTCTCAGAAGGTACAAGGTTCAAGAGAGAAGGTGTGGGAAGCCCTTGTCTGGCTCCTGGTGTGTAGAAGCAGTCAGAGGCACTCTCACTGGTGGTGGTGGTGATGTTATTTCTACTGGAAAATCCTAAGGTATTGGGCCTGGTGGCAGATTGGAGGGCCTAGAGTCGGGTGACCAATGCCCTCGGAGGGTCTGGGCGAAGCTTGTGGGGACCCAGGTGGGTGACCTCCCTGGGCATTGGCTCAGCCAGGCAGGGGGATTCCGACCCTGGGGAGAAGTTTTCTCAGGCAGGGTGCTGGCCTGGGAGCAGGGTGTCCACCAGAGCAAGTTAGGGCAGAGATACCACCTGGAATGGCATGGTAACCTCAGGATGTGGGTAACCATGAAAGGGCAGGGGCTCCCTCCACCTCAGAGTGGGATGGGAGAGGAGGATCTGGACTGAGCCAGGTGGGGGTGGGAGTGGCCAGAGAGACTGGCTGTTCTGTGTGACTGTCCTTTCATGCCCAAGTCATCAACAGCTTCTCAGCAGAACCCATGCTGCTGCTTCTGAGTATGGCAGGGGTGCCGGGCTCTGGGAGCTGGCGTACTTGGGGGTGGGGAACGTGCCATCTACACGTCTATCCTGGGTTGCAACTGACCCTCCACAGGCCACCACCGAGATGCAATCAGTGGGCAGAATTAAGCTCCAGGCTCCTCGCCTGCCCTGGCTCCAGGTGTCCTGTGCAGAGGGGCCCCCGGCAGCCAGGAAGATGAGTCACAGGTGCTGCAGGCAGGAGCAACCAAGGCGCATGCAGTGACAGAGTGGGAATTACCTTCCGGCTTCCTCTGGGGTCTTGCAGGCTGTGCCAGGGCTGGGGGGAGTTGGGAGACAACAGCCACGACATCTGGCTGTGAAGGTGGAACAGGTCAGTCATGCCCACCCAGGAGATGCTCCCCTGAGGCCCCTGCGCCCTTGGACCCCTGGGGGCTGGGCCAGGAGCAGCTGGGGCTGGATCATCAAGAAAACACAGCAGCAGAGGGACCCCCCCCCTTAAGCACTCTCACCCTCTGTTAGTGCCACATGCTCAGATGCCCCAGGAACTTGACTTGGCTTCCCAAAGGGCCCTCCCTGAATCCTTTTGGTGGGAGGCTGCCATGCTGATGTGGCCCGGGCTGTGTCCTGGTCACTCGTCCACTAGGCAAGTGTCTGTGGAGCTCGCACTACAGAAGGACCGCATCTGTGGCCGCAGCTGTAGCACTGCTGAGCGTTTACTCAGCACTTGCTCCCTCTGAGACCTCAGAGAGTGGAGTTTCCATTTTTCTTTGATGGTCTCGGCCATGTGCTTGGGAAAGACTGATGGGCGGGTTATTAAAGGTGCACTTCTCTCTGACGCCAACCACTCCCGCGAGGCTCCTTGGGCTCCTATGTGCTTCTCCGTGTGCCTGAAGGAATATTCCTCATGGGGAAGCTCAGCCCTGGCCTTGCCCCCTCCCACCTCATCCCTCTGCACCATCCACCATCCCAGGAGAGGTTCCCAGGGGGGTTTATGTTCCCCATGTGGGCTTCGGGGCCACTTCGCAAATCTGGGGCAACGTCCACTGTTTTAAACAGTGACATCTATGCAGAGAGGGGCTGGGCACCTGTATTCATGCGTCTCCCTGTCATGGGCTATGTTGGGAAGTGTGGAGAGGTGGGCCAATCAAAACGAACACTCTTTCCAAAACTGGGGCCCCCTCCCAGCCCAAGTGTCTCCCACCAGTCCTGTTGGCCCTCCACCCATGTGAGGTTCCATCCTGGACACTTGCAAACAGAAGTAGTGTTTAGAAATGAGGTGCTTCGGTGATGAGATTTCTGAGCAACTTGGAGCTGTCATTGCTGGATACAGCTGGGAGTTTTCTAAGAGTGGAGTTGGAGTGGACAGGGTAAGAGGAGCTCATGGTGAGGACAGGGCTTTCCAGGGCCAGCAAAGGCCCTGGATCCTGGGCCCCTGGTCAACAGGGAAGCCTGGGAGGTGGAGCCCGAGGAGCCTGCCCCATTGCCCTGGGACAATCCAGCACCTCCCCTGGGCCCCAGAGGGGACTGGAGTCAATCCTACAGGGCAGTGGTATCTCCCTTCCCCTGCCACATCTCCATCCCCTAGTAAATCCTGTCTTCCCAAAGCTGGGGAGGGGAGTAGATCTTCCCAGTGCTGGGTAGGGGTGGGGGGAGGTGGATGTCCCCTTCCCAGGACCTGTTGCTCTAGGAGCAGGGATGGCAGGTATCCAGGAGGTACCCCAGCTCAGAGCCGCCCCTCTGCATTCATGGTGCCCTGGGAAGGAGAATTAGGGGTCACAAGGCATGTGTACCTTGTTAGAGATTGAAGACATGGCCCCTGAGCACCAGGCTGGGTTTCCCATCAGACCCAGGTGCAAAAAGGATTCTGCTGCTGAGACAGTGGGGGTGCAGTCCTGGGTACACTAGTGATGTCCCGGCATGCGGCCCTGGTAGCAGCTGTGAGGCTGAGGGTGAAGGGGGGTGGTGGTGGGGTACCCCTGTAATCTGCCTTCACAGATGGCCTCTTTCACATTCAGTGCTGGCAGCATTGCTCCTCACAATGGGCTGGGCCCAGCTTCAGAAGGGGTGGCCGGCCCTGGGTGTGGCTTGTGCAGGAGGGGCTCTTGTCCATGGGCACATTGACTCTGAGCAGCCTCCTGAGCACCGAGGCCATTAAAGTCTGACGTGATCTGCGGAGGCAGAGGCCGCCGAGACCTGTCTCCACAAAGTGGAAGAAAATTGGTTCCAATAAAATCAGGCCATGGATAATTTTCTCCGTGTTTCTGTCCTGTACCACCAGCTGCGCTGTGCCCTCTCCCCCCGTCCCCATCCCTCCACCTGTTCGCTCCCCTTCATCCATCGTTCTCCCATTCCTCCACCAGCAGCCAGCTCACCTCGGTGATGCTGACACTTGTGGCTGAAGTTTGGCGAGTCACAGGGCCCCAGGAGAGTGATGCTGTGTTGGGGAAACAGACAAAAACGTGCCCCCAAGATTGGTGCCTCCTGCTGGACGCACTGCCCAGAATGGGGCTCCTCCCCCGGAAGCATCTGCCCAGCACTCACAATCTGCCGGGTCATGGAAGTTCAGGGCAGGCCAAGGGGCTCTCCTGCATTAAGGGGATTGAAGACATGGTCCCTGAGCACCAGGCTGGGTTTCCCATCAGACCCAGGTGCAGAAAGGATGCTGCTGCTGAGACAGTGGGGGTGCAGTCCTGGGTTCACTAGTGATGTCCCGGCATGCAGTGGGACTTCTTGGTTTGGCGACTGTGCTGTGGTTCTGTACAAGGACAGAGTCTGGGGCGAGTGGGGCAGGGACCCCCATGAGCAGTCATCCCAGGAGACACCTACACGCTTGAGGACCGCAGCCCATCCCTCGTGTCCAGAGTCTCAGCTCAGGGGGACCAGGACTCTAGCCACGAGCTTTGGTGCCAGCACGGTATGCTTGCCCGTGGGCCCCAGCAGGACATTTGTGCTGGGCGGGGCAGGGCTTGTGAGGGGAGGAGGGTGTCAACCTGTTCAGGTGGTTGGAAGTCTCTATCCCACCACCAGAGAGGCAGCCAGGCTTCCGTCTGCTTGTCTGAGGAATCACAAGCCTTTGTTCCTTTTTTTCTGTTCTGGTGAAACACACATAATGTGAAATTTACCACCCATCTCCAGATGGGGACTTCCCCACTGTCCCTGAGGGAGACTGCGTCCCCACTGGAGACCAGCTGCCCCTGCCCCCAGCCCCGACTGTGTGTCTGGGGTTTGGCTGCTCCAGGCCCCTGTCAGATGGGATTTCCAACCTGCCTTAGTCTCTAAGATGTGGTGGAGATGCGGTGGTCACGAGTGAACGTGCTGTGCCAAGGAAGGAAGCCAGTCTCAAAAGGCTCCAACTGTATTACTCCAGTCATGTGACTTTCTGGAAGGAAAGTGATGGGCACGGGGCAGGGAGGGGAGGCGTGTTGACGATGCGCAATGCATGTTCTGTGTCTTGTGGGTGCTGCCAGCTCTGTGATGGAGCGTTATCAAAACTCACAGGACTTAGATAAAGGATGATTTTGGTAAATATACACTGTCTCCCTGAGTCCCTCAGAGGTTAAAGGCCAAGTCCATGGCCTCACCCTGTGAAGGTACTTTGGGTGCCAGGTCCTCTTGTGGGGTAGGGGGTGCCTTTGGGCAGGAAAATACCAAAGGGTCCCAGGGTCATTTCTGGGGAACTTGAATGCCCCAGGCAGCTCCTCGTCCTACCCCACCCCCATCATCCCAGGAGCCAGGCAGATGCTCAGCCCTCTGGGGGAAACCATGGTACCGAGCTCAAAGCTGTGGGGGCTGCCTGCTCCCCAAGATCCCCACTCTAACCTGGCAGCACCTTG